TGGAAATGAAAATCGAAATGATAGCAAAATATTTGCAAACAGTTTTGCTGATGTGACACACCATTTTGTTTATCCCAAATGTTAAAAGAGGTAGATTGCTTTCAGCATAAATTGATGTTTTTTTCCTATTTGTCAAGTTATTGAAAATACACAACACCTTTGTTGACACACGGCTGCAGTATGTATGTTAATTTATTTTAGCACCTAGGAAAAAAGCGTTGCTATCGATTTCAGCAAATATTTACCGTGAAATAAATAAACGGCATCAGTGCAAATCCGAGTTGGTATTTATTTTGCCTTTGCCAGGATTTAATTTCCTTTGTTTCCGTCTTCTGCTTTACTTTCGGCTCTAACAAATCCGCAAAGTCTTGTCTTCAAAGAAAAGGCGGCGAAAAAAAGGAACAATTCAAAAAAAATAACCCGTATTTCCAGTTGTTGAAACTTACTTGCCTCTCAAGGGCCGCGAATCTCCTTTTTTTTATTATTTTCTTACTTGCTTTCGTTTGGCTAACAACTAACGGCACTTGCAACAGGGGCAGGAGATCTTGCAGTTGTTGGCCAACAGGCACACCCTCCTCCCCCGCGAAACGACCTTCCAGAAAGTGTTGCAAATGATTCGAAACCGGTTTAAATGGTCTTTGGACGGGTTCGCATGCGGATTGGGGTTCCAGTTCGGGTTCGGGCTCTGACTCTTTTTCGCCTTGTGTTTTGGCCCGAAGAAATGGGTCAATAAGAATTTCAAATGTTAAAAAAGCAACGGCAAGCGAAGAACTTGTTGAGTTTTTTGCGGTTATCCGAGCGGGGGTAAAAGCACCATACCAAAACAGGGAATTGCAAGGCGAATGAACTCCAATTTGCGTTTGTTATTTGCTTGCTTCTTCTCTCTGCGTTTGGTTCAATGACTTCCAGCTTCTGGGCAAACCATAACAATTGATCGAATCGCAGAAGCCTGCAGAAACAAGTTCTGCAAACTAATCAGGGATTATGTATATAAAAGTCGTAGTATGCTGTTTATAAGGTCTATTAAACATTCTTCATAACTTTTCTTATCTTTTTTATTGTTTTGCTCCTGCTGCTTGGCTTATTTTCGGCTGAAAAATATTTCATTAGCACGCCTGTATTGTTCTGTTCGGAAAAAAGTGTAATGTTTGCCACATAAAAGCTAATGAAAGGACAATAGCTGACCACCAAACGATTCGATATCGCAACTAAGCACACATAATTATTAAAATTTAATGCGATTTTCCCGCCATCTTTCCTTCCGGTGCATTATTGTGTCCTTTGTGGGTCCAAGTGATATAGATGGCGAAGTACGTTGATGGATCTGCGGAAAGCCGCTTAAAATGTTTTCCCGGTATATTGTCGCCCTTTTCCCCCAACCATCGCTGTTGTTGGTGTTGTTATTATTGTGGTCCTGGCATTGCGCTGATTTAATATTTAGCACGCCTGGACAATCACCCCCCGTGAAAGAGTCCTCCGTTTTCATATCAACCCCTGCGGCATGACGCCTTAGTAAAATTTTAATGCGCTTTTGATGATGGCCATAAAATGGCAAAACAAAATGCATGGAAGTTGGCGGCGGCGAAGGCGGAGGCGGCGGTGGAGGAGTGGGTGGGTGTGGGCGTGGGCGTGGTCGTGGTCAGAGCAGTGCATGCGAATCTCTGCTCTAGATAAAATATTAATTTATTTTTCCCGCATCTGCTGGCTGGTTGTCCTTTTTCCCCCCCTCACTCTCTTTTTCTGCTTTTTGGGGGGCTCGCCAGTCGAACAAGTTATAGTGCGCATAAAATTTTACGTATGTATCGCCGCGCAAGCTCCACGCTTATTTTTTAAATAACTGTTTCATGCCACGCCCCCGATGTCCAGTACTTGCATCTATATAGTACTATATAGCCCACGCCCAGCACCGCCTCTCCGCTGGAATCGCCCACTGGTTTATTAATACTTTCATTTCGAGGCGGTTTATTTGTTTTTCCATTTTCCCGCTGCTTGCATTTTTATTTCTCGCCTTCTTGTGGATTAGTTTTTTAATTTCAACAGCTCGTGAAATGTTGAACTTTTTTATTTGCCGACCCCAGTTTTCTCCAGAAGCTTCACAGAGTTCTAAAAAAGTTGATGCATTTTCTCCTTTTATGAAAATCTTTTGACTCAGCTGCAGATTAGAAAGATTTCGCGGCGAAATTAAAATTTTAATATGTTTTGGTGTACTTAAAGAATTTGCAGTGTAAGTACAAGAAAGTTTAAATAAAAACCACATAAAGGTTTCATAGCTTCCAATTTAAAAACATTTCTGTTGACTTAATTAATAAAGCAATGCTAAAATATGCGGCATATTTCTGGTTTTCCTTGATTAAATATAAAATTGAATAGGTTCTTCTTATTAAATTGGTGGAGATTGCTGAATAGTTTCCTTAATCTGTAGCAATGACTAATGAATCCATTAGCACACAACACATTAAGGACCTATACTTATTTTTATTGGTTATAAGAGGAAATATTCCCTTTCGTCGTCCACAAACCACAAACTTGGCAGATCCAAACATGACTTACATACACCGCTTTGCACAATTTATCAATCGAGGACCCTGGAGAGTTGACACTTTCCATGAACGTTGACGATTCTCCGGGGAGCTGCTCTAATCAGCCTCCATCATTCACTGCCCTCCGTCTCTGGAGCTCCATTGCCATTCACCTAATGGACTCAAATTACCGGCAAACAATGAGTGGGCAGCTCGTCCAATATCCTTTCCTTTTACATGTCCAATGGCCAGCAGGCCGATGGGAAACGTAGGGAAACGAAAGGGGAAAAGCTGCGGAAAAGTGCTGGAGCACGCGCCTCATTTATTCAATAAGCTGATCTCATAAACCGGAGTAATTTTTTGTGACCCTCCCGCTCTATTCCGGCTGTTCTTCGAGGATGCGACGCTCTTGACTTGGTCGTTGATTGCGCTATTTACAATAATTGCAGACATTTTGTCCGCCATCGAGCGCCAGTCTCCCAGCTTCGCAGCTTTTCCAGCCCCCGCCCCCATCTCTCTATTCTATCGTTGACTTTTCCGTTTACAACGCTTGTCCTGCTGCAGGACCTCTGGCAAATCGCATTAAATGCAGCTCCAATGCCGGCAACGAATTGTAAAATGTCAGTCCAGATGAAAATGAGGGAGAGGACATAAAAAATAAGCGTATTTTTTCCAACTTCCCACTCCATTTCCTCTCGGAGCAGCTCACACTTTCCGTCCACTTCCTCTGCCCGGCACTTCTGTTTTCCTGTATTTCCATGGACAGAATGCACAACTATAAAGCGCACCGAGCACACAAAAACTAATTAGAAAACTTTTGCGGTCGAGAGTGACAGTCGGCTGAGGGGAAGGAAAAGTGTTAAGTGTGTGCGAAGTGGGGTGAAAAACTAACAAAAAAATTAAAATCGCTGGAGTAGCTGGCAGCTGCATTATTTATTAAGTAATGAACGCATACAATGACTATCAGTTACATGGCTTGAAAGGCAGTGTGCTGCAGAAAAAAATTACTTTGAAATTGATGGTTTTAATAGCACATGGATATCGCTAAGTGTTCTAGATAATTGTTGTTGATCCTTTTCTGCTACTACTGCATCCACAAGCTTGACAGTTTATTTTCCTAATTTATCTGTGTGTAAGCCTTCAGTACAATCTTCATGATGATAAATCGTTAGTACCTATAAATGTTTGCCGTGTAAGACATTAATCAGCCCATTATCGAATAATGGTCGCGCTCTTGCAGCACTTAAGTATCTTAACGATATCCGAGGGAGGGACATTCATCCCCCACTTAAAAATTGGCCCAAACAATTTGCCACTGCGAATTTGCATAGACCAAGGAATTCGATGAAATTTCGTCTAATCAAATAGCTACCCTCCACAGGCATCTCTTTCTTCCGCTCATGTCTAATGCAAATCAATGTTGAAAGTTTTCAACAAGATTCAAAATTTCATGAGCCAGAGGACTTATCGATGAATTTCATGAATAACAAAATTTGCTGCTGCCCGAAGAGTAGGCGAAGACAAAAGCCGCTTTCCCACTTTGCCTCTTACCAAATTTTTCCTGGCTTGACGGCAGTAACAACAAATTGAACATTTAACCCATTATGGCCCCTGAGCAACCCAAAAACCCCACCCAGCCAACAGAAGACTTGCGAACATTCTGCTTGTAAAATGAATAAATAGAAGTCGCTTGCGGATTTCAAAGGAGGATGGAGGGCGAGTTTTTGGGGGGGAAAATTTGGCAGCTTAAATTTTCCATAAATTTCCATGCCAACGGCCAATGCTCATTATAATTTGCCATCAATTCCCAGACGCTGCCACCAACCGAAGTATTCTTATTCCATTCTTGTTGGCCTAGACTTGACACGCCCTGGCTTTTGCTGCTGGCAGGCTCGCTTTAGCACACTCGAAACTCATTAACGTAATTTCCGAAAATTTATGAATGTTAATTGGGAAATTTCTTTGGCATAGTACAGCGGCAAGTGCTTATTAAATTATGCTAATGAGTTCTTGAGCTTCACGCAGGAGCTGATACGGAACAAATTTTCACGTTGCCTATTTGGCCAACCAAATGCGAAATTCCAATTATGCCAAACAAAAATATAAAAACAGCCCACTAAAATTGAGACTCATCAAAGTGAAATTGCCCGATTTGGTCACTTGGAAAACCACTGATGGCCAAATGATTGGATAATCATTCGTTTCGAATTAACCATTCACCTGGCGTTGATAAGTTTTAGCAATCAAAGTTTATTAGTGTCCTGAACGAAACGAATTGTACACACAGAGAAATAAGCAAATTATCTCTATTAAAAATGAAATGAACTGTATTAAAACATCTTGTCCATTCTCATACTAGCTCCCACAAATGATAAATTATTAAGTTATTTGAGCAACAGCTTGATAAACAATGTAGTCATACATTTTTCCCTGTCTACCGCATTCGTTTCTAATTTCGCGCTCGATTCCAATTAATTTCAGGATGTCTTGCACAAAATCTGTCATCCACATGGCCAAGTGCTGCGCATTGTCATATTCAAAAAGAATGGGGTCCAGGCCATGGTGGAGTTCGATAATCTGGATGCGGCCACAAGGGCGCGCGAGAATCTGAATGGAGCCGACATATATGCCGGATGTTGCACCCTGAAAATCGATTATGCCAAGGTAAGAGCAATCAATCGATCATCGCCGCCAATTGGGCTTAATTTCAGTGGCATAATGACGATCATCTAATTGCAGCCGGAGAAATTGAATGTGTACAAGAACGAGCCCGATACCAGCTGGGACTATACGCTGAGCACAGGTGAGATTCTACCAAGTGCGTTCACATTTTTTACTACCTTTTCTAAACTAGTCGTTAAGCGATGCACCAATACATCGACACTCGAGCACCCACACTCTTGCCACCCACACTCTAGAACACCCACACTCTAGAACACCCACACACACGCATTTATACCACCCACAAACCACAAACACGCACACACAGAGACACCAAGAAGAAACGGAGAGTTAATTGCTTTTTGTGTCCAAAAAAAGTTGGAAAATCCTGAAAATCCTGAAAATCCTGGAGCATGCCTACATGCGCCCTACTTTTTAGAACTCTTTGGCTTTGTAACTGTGTTTGCTAAATGTATATTTTAGTTAGCGTTGTACCGAGGCGGCTGAACGTGGCGTATGCGTGATATCCTAGGCTGTGCATCATCTTTAGTTGTTTTCCTAGCGGTCTCCTAATCCCCGAACGCCCCCCTCCATTAACCAACTTTTCCGATCTCAGGAAATACACACACTCATTCACACACAGCCACCATTGCCAGAACTCATTAAATCAAGCATTTAACGACACTCTAGAGATGCTGAAACAAACATTATGGCCCACACACCCACCCAAACTCACACACTCAAGTATATAGCCACCTGTTCGTGCCACGCCCACTCCATAGCACCCTCTGTGCCGCCCCCGGCCATTTCCCACTGCACCATTTGGCGCATCGCACATGTCTCCGTGCTTATGACTGGCGACAAAGTTGCGCATTAAATGCCATTTTTAATTTGAGTATTTCACTTTGAATAAAAATGAAATTAAATGCTTTGCCATGCTGTTTTCACGCCAGACAAACAGGCGGCACTGTCAACATTTTGTCGGCCTTATTTTTTTTTTTTTTTCTTCTTCGTTGTCTGTGCCGCCTGGCCAATTTGTACTGGAGGAAAGGCAGAAGTGAGAAGAGGTCGACAGTCGGGGACGGGCCACATCAAAAGGCCGACAAACTGAGCCACCAGCGGATCCTGTCCAGGCCAACGCACTATTAGCGCTGCTGCCAAGTGTCAACGTTGCCGCAGCTGCAACAGCAACAGCAACAGCAGCAGCAACAGCAGCAGCAACATCAGCTGCAACAGCAACTTCAGACAGCTGACGGGGTGGAGAGGTGGTGGCACAAAGCCACAATAACTCAGACAGCCAGTTGGGGCAGAGTTTCAATGGTTTTTCCGACTATTTTTTTTTTTGCCGTGCTGCCCTGGACACAGACAGAAACTTTGGCTGATCCTCCACAGCATTCATCCGCCCTGTTGTATTGCCATTTCCATTTGGAGGCCAAAAGTCTGCCACATCCCAGCCGCTGCGGCCGCCGCCGCATTCCCCATGTTTGTTTTTGCCACAGAGCCACCAAGTTGCAGCCATTTACCGCCCGCCTGCCATCAATGAATGGGAAAACTGAATGAACTTGGCGCCGCCTCCATGAGTTGCCGGAATAAGTGGGCGGAGATCTGTGTAGCAGAGTGTACAGCCTCATTGTCGACACATTAGGGGGCGTGGGAGGTGCTGCCACTCTGGCAGCTTGCAAATTAGGCCCGGCACTATCTTTGTGTCCGTTATAATGAACATGCCACTGTGTGCCGGCGATTCCATTGGAAGAGGATATTCGAGTCGCAGGTGGCTCTTTCATCTCCTTTGTGGATGCTGATGGTGCTCCTGTGATGCATTGAAGTTAAAAGGATTGCTTTTGCCAATTGCCCTTCTCACGAAAGACAGACTTTAATTAACTCAACCAATAAATATCCTAATATGCAACCAATAGAACTGATTATGAATAGTAATTGGGTGATGTATACCTTTATGGCAACCTTCCCAAAAGATTCCATACTGATTATCCTGGTTAGACTCAGTACATTTATTAGACCTTCGTGGTACAAGTTGAACTCGAGCTAAAAATATAGCAACCTTAATATTAAACAGGTAATCGTCTTGATAGATATGCAATATTTAAATGACCAGCGATTATTTCCGCCCAACTTCTGGAAAAACGAACTTGTGACATGAACGTACATTCGCTTGACCTGCTGCCAAGCAAAATCAATAGAATTCATAAAAATCGTAGCAAGTGACAAGCCACGACCACAACTTACTTTCCACGTCAATTTCGATCCGACTTCTTTATTGTCTTAACAACGATAACAAATAACAAGCGACAAAGAACAACGACGAAGTGAAAGAAAACAAAAAGCGAAGTGAGGCAAGTTAAATATAAAGTGGAAAATGCAAACATAATATTTGCATAAGATTTTGCGCTCAACCTGGGCAGCTCACTCCACCACACTCCCCGCTCCCTGCAGTTTATTCCCGTGTCCGTGGCTTTTCCTAACCTTTCCTTTCCTTAGCGAAAGCAGTCCACCGAGCCAATCGATACAAAATGCCAGCACGTGAACGAGGACACACCGCCTTGGGTAAACAAGAGTCTCCAAAAAAGCATTCGAAATGACTAGCTGGCTGGCTGGCTGGTCGTGGTCGTTCTGGTGCTCTAAAAGTAGCAAGAAAGAAGTTTTTAGCAAGTTGACTTGAGTGCTCACCCACCAATTCAGCCAACCCATCATCCCCTCCAGCTGTCGAGGAAGCTCCGACTCCTGCAGCTCCTGCAGCTCAAAACTTCATCAAGTGCACACCGAAAATTTGTATTTGCATTTGCATTTGACAACCGCCATGGTTGTGCATATTTTCTCCTGGTAAATGTGCCAAATCCCTCCTCCTGCTGCATTTGATCCCCTCGTTTTGTTAATTTTCTACTCATTTCGCTGTCATCCGGCGCGGCTGCTTCATCTTCCGTCCGTCCATCCGTCCATTTGTCTGGGGGTTATCCTTTCGCCTCCGGAAAGGATTCCTCCTGCTCATCAGTAGTCTGCAGACTATATTTGCTTTCGTGTTGTCACGCGATGTTCTCTTTCTGGTTCTTCATTTGGCCGCAAATTGTTTTTGCTTTCTGGGTGGTTTAGCGCACTTTTGGCTCAAGGACGTTCGATTTTTCCCTTTTTCTTTACTGCAACTCGGCAAAGGTACGTGTGCATTTTCAAGCGATTTTTCCACAGCCTGATGTCAAGTGACAGTTACGTTTTGCCGGATAGTTTGTCTCCGAGTTAATTTAGTTTTGCGGCTGAAAAATAGTTGCCTGCTGAAATTGATTAGAGACATTTGTGTCGTCTGCCGTTTGAAAACGGTGCTGGAAATTGGTGTTGGTACTTTAAAATATAATGGTCGCACCCCCTATGCAAACCCTCTCGTAATAGAATTCGGTTTTTTGTGGCCTTGATTGCGTAGTCAGTTGACCACAAAGACAAAATTAGGCCATAATTAACCGCAGAAATGTCCGTAGGCAGCCCATGAAAAACTTTTCCCCCGGGACTGCTGCTGCTGCTGCCGCTTTTCCACATCCACATTTCCACCACAAAACGTGCACCGTAATGGCAGTCATTATTTATTTTATTTCCGAATGCACGGAAACAGCAGCGAAATAACAATCATAGAAAGTGGAACAGCAGGGATACGTCAGGGAACTTGCTACCTTGGTAGCAGCTCCAACTACTGGCTACCACACAAAAAAATTTCAATAAAAGGCGGGACACAAATAAAAGCCCAGACAAAGGAAAGGGGAAGGGAAATGTCAAATGTCATAAAAAGAAAGCCACAACAAGGGATGTGGTTGATGAGGAGTCACCTCCGCCATTAAAGAAGGACTCTCTGCCATCCTTGGCAGTTGAATAATAAAACATGACAAAACTATTTTATGTTTATGATTAAATTATGTCGCTGAAGTCCCAGGCAGGCAGGTGACACCCACTACCCGCCGCAACTTCCTTGTGATCCTTGTGATTCTGGCACAACAATCGAATTAAATGCGCATAAATTATTCATACACACTCGCACTAACACGCATGCAAATCACGTTGGCAACTCGGTTTCCCAGTGATTTCAATTATGGCCAGATATTCGAAGGCTCGTTCCTATTTATTTAAATTGCTATCGAAGAACTGTTGGTTTTGCTGCTTACTTTATCCTAAATCAACATGGGCCCAAATGCGCCGCATTCCTCGCTTGTCTTTGGGTTATTTATTTTTATGACACTACAATTCCGGCAAGTGTCTACATATGTGAGTGTGTGTGCGGTTGTGGTTGTGGGTGGGGGTGTGGGTGTGCGTGTGTGTGAGGGTCCTTCGGCCTGACTGCCTGCTGATTATTTTCGTTTTATCTAGAGGCCCGTGCCGTATTTTGGACCACCAATTTGTTTTTAGTGCCCTCCATATGCCGGCTGCAAATGTGCTTGTTATATAGATTACGGCATATACACAGATACAGATGTCTGTACTTGTGGGTGGTTGGGAGATTGTCGTTTGCTCCGCCCATCTAATACATCGTAATTATAACGGTTTTACTTTTCCAGAATGGTTTATTTTATGCCAAGCGGAGCAAAGAGTCTTCCCGTAATCAGTGTGAATAATTTGCCCTTTGTCCCTGCGATCTGATATGGTCTTTTATATGCAGAGGAACCCCTTCTGGCCACCCACATTTATGGGCGGCATTATTTCTTGTCTGCGCAATTGCGTGGACCCCACTCATTTAGAACCAATTAAAACGGCTTTTATTGCTGGCCACATAATGAAAACGAGCAACTTTTTGGCTAAGCCACACATTCAAAGTGTCCATCAGCCATTGAAATAGTAGTTTCTATGGCTGTGGCATTCGCTAGCATTATCCATCATGAATGAGTCTTAGCTTTCAGTGGTGGCTAATTATAAGAAAATAGTTGTAATGCAAACGCTTGATTGCAGTCGCTGACTTTTTGCCTGATCTTTTGAGTTCTCGTCCCACACTAAACTTTAACATAATCACAGCACGAAATCATCCATATCATCGTATATATCATCTACTCTACTAGCATACGATTATACACGGCTCGTTGAGGGTCTAGATACTATATAATATGACCTAGCTTAAGCCTAGCTTAGCATAACATACGAATACCACTCCTGAACCAC